GAGGGAGTGCGGCTGAGTCAGCACAGGCTCGGAGAGGGAACCTGCAAACCCAGACAAACTTTTGTGATGAGAGTGAAGCTCAGGGGTGTAGGAAGAGACGAACTGACACAGAGTGGGAACTGAGATCTCGTCCCCGAGGCCATTCCCCACCTATGCACTGAGAGAGGAGCACGAGGAGGACGGGGGTCCAGGCCATGGTGCACGCAGCCCCTGAGCCCACAGTGGGGCTGGGCTGCCACAGGCCTCCTTTTCTTCTCCACCCTCCGCCAGAGGAGGGGCTGTCCATGCAAATGTGCGTCCATCCAGAGACCGCCCCGCCCCTCCCTGAGCCCTGGAGCTCAGCTCACACCCAGACTGAGGAGGATAGAGATTGATTTCACCCCGTGGGAGAGCCCTGGGAGGAAGCACCATCTGACACCACACAAAGGTCCCTGCTCAGGGGACTCTGCCAGACCAGAGAGGACACAGCTGCTGAGTCCTATCAGGGAGTACAGAGAACAGGCCCAAGTCCCAGGCTCCTTTGAGCGAATGTTGATCACTCAGTAACTTGTGTAGGGACCACAGGGTGGTCCCACGGCGCCCCCTGCTGGTCTGAGGTCACACACCTCCCGTAACCCAAATTTCTGAGCACCCAGCTGGGGTGTGCAGCTTAACACAACCATCGGCTGGTTTTAAGATATTGTGATTCTGATACACTCTAGTGATCACTGTAGTTTCTTACTCCCAGGAAGTCTCTATCTCTGCAAGGCGCAAAATGTACATATGACAAATCAATTTGCTTTCACCACAAGTGTAGATGTTGTAAAAATAATTCCACAGTGGGCTTGATTTCCAAAGTCATGGCCATGGGGACTGTTAATGTGGTTTGAAGTGCTTGTAGGGCTGTTGGAGAAGTGACATAGAAAGGGAATTTTCCAGAAATATACTCCATGGCATATTCAAAGAAGATCCATTCAGCAAACATTTCAAGTCATGTAGTGAGTTTACAGTTTTTACAGAGATCAGAGTTCATGCAGTCATTGGTAGGAATAACGGCTTTGGTAAGTTCCGCATTTACCAGCGTGGAGTGCAACATGCTTCTTGATTTCAGGCGTTGACCTTATATCTCAGACTGTAGTTTCCTGGATATCTGCGTCATATACTTCTTGCCAGAATTTTATCTTAAGGGTCCTAATATGTATTCACATTGCAAATAAAATTTCCCATTGTACTTTCTTACTTATTGTCTTAGTTTAGTAACAAGCTAAATGTGAGATTGCGATGTGTTTGCAGAATGGTGAGTGCCTGGGCAGTTGAAAGCAGAAACCATCACGTCTTCACTGTGCTCCACATCCATCTCTGCCTTATCTGTGCAAATGGTCCAATCGTCTCCAAAATTCCAGACTCACGGGGCCTTTTATTAAAGGACCTAGGACCAGGATCATCAAGATCCCCCGGGCACTCTCGACAAGGCACTAACTAGGAGGGACCATCTGCCTTCAGCTCAGGCAGGTCACCCCTGATTAAAACCCTTCAGAACCTCTTCACTGCTATTTGCACAGAACCCCAACTCCTCAGCTCCCCTCTGGTGCCTTCATGGTCGGGCCCCACCCCCTCCACACCCACTCACAGCCCCCCTTATTCTCTGACCTCCAGCTTCCCTCACTTTTCCTGTTATTTCAAAAACTCTGAATTCCCGTCCCTTCCATGGTCTCCCAGACAACTCTTCCTCTGTCTGTTGGGAGGAGATGGGCTTAAGCTTGAGATCAAGGTGAAAACCTACTTGGGCAACTTGAGTGACTCTTAATAGCAGGACAGACACACACCATCACTGATAGGAATAGAGAATTAAGTGTGACAATGTTGAAGTTACATGAACTACAGAGAATAGTTCAGAGAACCACCTGCCACCATCGTCCCTCCTTAACCATCATCGGTAGGATGTATCTTGTCTCACCCTCCAGCCTCTGCGTCCCTCATCCTACTCCCTCACTGACTCTGAAAACACTTCCACACACCACATCACCTCACCAGTATTTTCAATGTCCCCAAACTCTTGTCCATGAAAGTGTGGATTCCAGCTGCTCTCCCATGAATGAATCTGTGTAGTAATCTGCAGAATCATCAGCTAATTGATTGTTGTGCTGATTGAAAGCGAGAAGTAGGAACAAGGCGTCCCATGTGTGGGGCCGTGATGTTCATGGATGGCATATGAGGAGAGGAAAGTCCAGATGAGCACACACGTCCCCAGACACCATTCATTGGCCTCCTGCACCCACATCCCCACGGTACAGAATCCTGTCTCCTTTCACGATACAGAGGAGGAGGGTGACTCTGATAGTATCACCCGTGAATGGGAAGCCGTGAGGCGGGGATTCTCAGCAGTGACCCCAGGTGACCTGAGGGGGCAGATGCTTGGGACTGACAGCAGGAGCGAATGGTCAGAGGATCATGAGCTGGGCCTCTGGGGCTGTCCTCATCTGCGTAAAGTGGAGCAGAAGCACCCAGGTCAAGGCGGGCAGTGACGCTGGTGCGATTTCTTGAGAATACTTCACTCTTCTGACTCTGTCAGGGAACAGAAGATCTTGAAGAGACGTTTTTGCAGCTTTCTATGTCCCCCGAGACTATTCAATTTTAGATTGATGCCCAGGGATGGAGGTGGGTGAGATGGTACCTGAAATTGATCTTTTACACAATATTAAAATATTCAGGGAGGCAGAAGTGTGGTTTTATGTGACAGGAGCCAACCGGCCAGTGTCCCCAGTCCAGGTCCCAGCACCCACAGGACAACACCCAACAAGATCTAACGATCAGGGTGGAGGGTAGAGTGAGGCCCATAATGAGGATGAATTAAGAAAAACTTTTGTGCTTCTGCCGTTCCTCCTGGACCCCGAATCCCCCAGCCATGTGGTTGGCATGCGATTGATCTGTTTCCAAATCCAGGGTCAGGGCCTATGTTGTCTAAACCAAATCAGACCATCCTGTCACTGTTTGTCATGGTGGTGTCAGGGGAGACGGTGTGAGTGATCACATCTGGTCATCCTGAACGCTGGAGTTCCTGTCCAATGGGCCAGGGAGGGCGAATCTCTAATTCTGGAAGTTTGCTGTGTGGATGGATGCCTGAGACCACAGAGGCATTCTCTCTCCGGGTGGGAAATCAGCACGGGACACTATATTTTGACTTGTATATCCTCTTTCTTCAACCAGAGTGTGTCGGCTCCCTGAGCATGGGGACACTTCCTGTTTGTCTGCAGTGTATCCTGACCCTCTAGACTCAAGTCAGGCACGTGGTAGGTGTTCAGTACATTGCGGATGTGCATCATCTGGACGGTAGTCTTCTCTGGGTCAGACACAGCTGCATTCTGTGTTCTGGGTTTTGTTTTGACCCCTTGATATGGACTGAACTGTGTCCCTCAAAATCCTATTGGAATCCCAAATCCCCAAGGTGACCGATCCTGGAGATCGGGCCTTGTGGGAGGTAATTAAGGTGAACGAGGTCATATAGTGGTGCCTTAATCAGTAGGGTTGGTGTATTTTTTTTAATAAATTTATTTATTTAAATTAGTTTCAAGTGTACAGTACATTGGTTAGATGTCTATAATGTTCATAAAATAATCCCCACAATTGTTCCCTCCCTCTCTTGGCCCTCCACCTAGCCATCATATTCATCCTAACTGCATTCCCTATGCCCACTTCGCTCCCCATGACCATATATCAACTACTAATTTGCACTTCTTTAATTCTTCACCACTTTCTTCCAGCCCTCCAATCCCATTCCCCTTGTCATCAGATTGTCCACTATATTTGTGAGTCTGTTTTTCATTAGTTGGTTCTTTAGTTCCTTAAATACTGCATATAAGTGAAATCATATGGTATTTATCTTTCTCTGTCTGACTTATTACACTCAGCATAATAACCTCTAGGTCCATCTAAGTCATTACAAATGTCAGGATTTCATTGTTTTTAATGGCTGAGTAATATTCCAGTGTATATATGAACCATAACTTTTTTTATCTGATTGTCTGTTGATGGGCATTTAGGTTGCTTCCATATCTTGGCTATTGTAAATTGTGCTGCCATGAATATTGGAGTGCATAGATCTTTGCAAATTACTGTTTTGGTTTTCTTTGTGTAAATACCCAGAAGTGCAATTGCTGGGTGAAAGTTATATCCATTTTTAATTTTTTGAGGAACCTCCATACTGTTCTCCATAGTGGCCGTACCAACTCGCACTACCACCAACGATGTATGAGGATTCCCTTTTCTCCTCCTCCTCGCCCACACTTGCTGTTTTTTGATTTATTGATGATAGCCATTCTGACAGGTGTGATGTGATATCTCAGTGTGGTTTGAATTTGCATTTCTCTGATGATTAGCGACCTTGACCATCTTTTCATATGTCTGTTAGCCATCTGTATTTCCTCTTTTGGAGAAGTATCTGCTCAGGTCTTTTGCCCATTTTTTAATTGGATTGTTTGGGTTTTTTGTTGTTGTTGAGTTGTAATGGTCGGTGTGTTTTTAAGAAAAGGAGGAAAAACCAGAAGTGAGTGCACAGAAAAGGCCTTGCGAGAACTCAGGAAGAATGCAGCCGTCTGCCAGACAAGGAGCGAGGCCTCAGGAGAGACCCACCTGCCAACACCTCTGTCTTGATCTTCCCGCCCCCAGACCTGTGAGAACACGCATTTCTGCTGGTTCAGCCTCCCAGTCTGTGGAGTATGCTTCAGCAGCCCTGGCACCAGCACAGCCCTCATGGATTCTCTCCCCAGGGCAGCCCGCCCCACATCTAAGAATTTCTGCTCTGTTACGGAAAATCAGTCAATGTGTTGCCAACAAGGACAGGCATAGGGGACATATTTAGAGAAGACGAGGGCATGTTATCTAGACAAAGTCCCTGGGGTGGGTCTCACCTCACTTTTTGATCAAGCAAAGGAGACAGCTGTCTGGTCAGAACAGTGGAGTCGGCCCAGGGAAGCCCCATTGCAGGGGGACAGCAGATTTTTGTCTCACTTCCCCACAGGCCTGGAGCACTGTGTGAGCATTGAGACTATTATCCCATGCTGAGCAGTAATATTCGGCCTCGTCCTCAGCCTGGAGACCACTGATGGTCAGCGAGCCCGAGTTGCCGGATCTGGACCCAGAGAATCGGTCGGGGACCCCCGAGGCTCGATTGCTATTTCTATAGATGAGGGTTTTGGGGGCTGTTCTCGGGAGCTGCTGGAACCACTGCACACCGTATCTTCCGATGTTGGAGCTGCTTCCAGTGCAGGAGATGGTGACACTCTGTCCCGGGGCCCCAGACACTGAGGACGGCTGGGTCAGCACAGACTGGGCCCAGGAGCCTGGAAGAGGGAGAGACACAGACATGCTGATGCTGGGTCTAGAGACAAGGGGAGGCAGCAGGGTCTCATGTGGCCTCCCAGTGTCCCCTCT